ACACACACACACACACACACACACACACACACACACACACACACACGGTTACACAATACAGAAGTTTTGTTCCATTTTACTCCTCAGTGCTTAAAATGTTGTATGCTTCAATTTGGAATATTGAAGATAGATTCAGTGCCCTTAATATGTAATCAATTGATTATAGGTAAATTGTAGAAACGTATTGTAACAGTTTATCTTCAGACAACGTGTTTTTTGTGCAATGTATCCGTTATTCCAAAGACATTGTATAAACAAAATTAAAAAATAATCATTCCGAAGTTTTTGTGTTTGTCTCTTGGGATTTTTATGACCTTAATTTAGAATCAATTGTATTTAATGTTTAGTAGATAATAAATATTAAAATAAAGCCCGTTAATAGGTTTGTAGAATCTAAACATTAGTCGTATACTAAATGTGATGTTTTAATAGGAGGAAGTGACTACGAGAAAAAAAAAAATCTGTGTTATAAGAATACGTTATTACAAGAAACTATTAATGTATCACAACTATATTGTGTAACTAATTTTAAAATCGCAATCGTAACTTGACTGAAATTAAATTTTAAATTCTACGTAACATGAATTTTCACAGTTTCGGTTGGTGATGAAATTTAGTGCAAGTATTAAAATATGATTGAAAGAAAACGTAAATTATTTTACATACGATATTAAACGACAAAAGAAATCGATCGTATTTTTGTATCGATGTTTCAGTACTTCATCAAATGAACAGAATTTTCCAGAGTGTTCTCTTTTAAATTTGTATTTAATTTTGCCGTTGGTAACGTCATAAGTTGTTTAATTATAAACTATTGTCTGATGCTTTAGTTTGTTGATTGTATTAACAATGGACATATTAGTCCATTCTGAAAATAAATATCATTGAATTAAATTGTGTTTATTAATGAAACGATTACGAGACTACCCACTAAATCACGAAACAAGTATGCCATTCTATGTATGCCGTCAGTTTGAAACTTCAAAAATTACCTAATTCAATTCCTTTGTTTTGGAAAATTAGTTAGGAACTTTACAAAATTGTGTTTTAAAATTAAAGTACTTGGGAGATACTGATCAACCCATATTGAAACCAAAAGTAACCGTAAGATTTATGAAACGTGTATAGAAAAATTGGTATCTAGAAATGATAAAAAAACAACATTAAAACACTTACGTGTGCAATGCTATTGAATGTTATAAACAGTGCTAAGAAGCCCATGTGTGTGTAAAAACGTGTTTTCCAATTTCAGATGCTTATGTTGTTGCCTGGTGAGGAATCTTTTCATTACAACGGGTAATAGCTTGGGCCTAATTTTATAGTCGAGTACATCACGATCTTTTCTTTACTGTATCTTCATGTCTAAAATTGATATCCACTCGGATTTACACTGCAATTAATAAAACTGGACGTGTTTTAGGTATCTTGAGGAGGTATACTAACACGAGTTGTAGATGTAAATAGCAAACGCAGAGATACGGTTTATGAGATCGAGGAATGAAAGAATTCTAAATACACCAAATGTATATATGTTGACATATCGCTTACTTGATTGCCGTCATTTTTAGCATGGCAATTGTAAACTGTGCAGCTACGCTGTACGTGGACAATTTTGAAAAAAGACCCTGAATTAGAGAACATGACGATTTATTTATTGACTTTAAAGATACAAGTACTTACTCAATTAAATGAGTCAATTATTACCTTCAATAGAGCAGTGTATGCAGTTAGCATCTAATGAAATAATTAGGGATTGAATAACAAAAGAAAGAGGGGGGGGGGTATTATTTAATATTGTCCTTTATAAAAATTTTTGATCCTTTAACGGGTACCTTCCCTCATCTAATGTGTGTGTGTATATATATATCTCTTATCTTAGTCTACAGTCTTGGGCGGTAATTAAAAATTTGGGAGCGATTTAAAGATAACAGACTGCCCTATCAAAAATTATCTGTAATGTCTTGATTCACGTGACGAGCTATTCTCGTCAGCAGTGCATACTTATTTGACGTGATATCATAAGGGATTAGGTTTCCTGTTCAGTTTGGATGAACTACACGTGTACTCTTAATCGTATTGTACAAACGGTTTACAACAGTGAGAGTAAACAGCTTTGTTTTGGAATAATATATTGTTAAGATTACTAGCACAGCTTTACCTAAAAAACAATTTGTTATATTTCCTCAAACGCCCCGCCCCTACCCCCAGTGACACAGCGGTATGTCTACGGACTTACACCGCTAGAAACTGGGTTTCGATACCCGTGGTAGTTAGAGCACAGATATTCCAATGTGTATCTTGGTACTAAGACAACCAACATAGCGTTTCAAGTGTCAGAAAAGCATATTAACATATATGTAACAACACTCGGTGGTTTGAGAGTAAAGCTAGTAAACAATTTTATTTCGGAATGGGTTTGTCTCTGATATTCGCAAATGTATCCAAGTCTAGCGCTGTTTCTATCATTGAGCTGACAGATTGAAGTGAAGAATGAACTGATAAGACCGAGGGGAAGAATGAACTGGTAGACTGAAGGGAAGAATGAACTGATAAGACCGAAGGGAAGGCACCTTAGTAAACAACATCCACCAGCTCTTGGGTTACTGTAATCGAATAGTGGAACTTGACAGTCACTCGTATAACGCACCCACGGCCCAGATGCGCGATTTTACATCTACGTAACACGAATCACGGACCCTCGGAAGCCAAGTAAAACATTGAGACTCAAGTCAGATTATTGAAAGGTACAAGTCCTTTTGTTCAACTTATTCAGCACTACTACATAATGGGCTAGCAACAACATATTTACTTCCCTCATCTAGGACATTTGACGCGACTGTCACGTGTATCGTTGCGCGCTTCAGTTAATGCTACACAGAAGGTGCACGTGATATGTAAAATGCAAATAAAAAACTATAATATCATGCACAATATGCGCATAAAAATGTACGATCGTAATTAGATATAGAAATGATACAGCTTGCAATTTTTTTTTTCATATAAGTTCGAGAGAAAAAAGCTGTATTAAATTCTGCTATGACGTAATTTAGAGACATTGGCGGTTAAATACAAAACGAAAATGCATCATAAATCAATTTCTCTTTAAATTATAGTCTTCTGGTGAGTCAGCAGTAAAATCCAGGATTCAATTCCCCTCGGTGAACAGAACGCAAATAACCCAATGTGTAGCTGTGCGCTAAAACAACGCCAACTTACAATTATATAATTCAGTATTTGTTCATATAAATATACACATATAAATAACATAGTGATATGGTACAAAAAAAATAATATCTAATAATGAAAGCTATGTATAAATATATATTCAGTCACGTGAACTATTTGAAACTGTAAATATGTAATCTGACCTTTACTATTGTCAGTGTTCTTCTGGCAACTTGCAATAGTTTCTGTTTTTATATCGGTTGTGGTTACTGTATAAAACCTAATGAAATTCCAATAATTTACTGATGACGAAGCACAAGCTGGATTGTTAGTTTTGATTAGATGTATTTAGACATAGATTTTAACACTAAAAGTTAGTTTTGATTAGATGTATGTAGACATAGATTTTAACACTAAAAAGTTAGTTTTGATTAGATGTATTTAGACATAGATTTTAACACTAAAAGTTAGTTTTGATTACATGTATTTAGACATAGATTTTAACACTAAAAAGTTAGTTTCGATTAGATGTATTTAGACATAGATTTTAACACTAAAAGTTAGTTTGGATTAGATGTATTTAGACACAGATTTTAACACTAAAAGTTAGTTTCGATTAGATGTATTTAGACATAGATTTTAACACTAAAAGTTAGTTTCGATTAGATGTATTTAGACATAGATTTTAACACTAAAAAGTTAGTTTTGATTAGATGTATTCCAACTGGTGCCGGGCATACATCGATATTAGTCTCTATAACGGATGGGCAACCCTGCACGAGCTCAGTAGTAACTTCACGAAGTAAAAATAAATCAATCAAAATGACTAATTTTTTAACACTAAAAATCTTGTCTAAATACATCTAATCGAAACTAACTTTTTAGTGTTAAAATCTATGTCTAAATACATCTAATCAAAACTAACTTTTTAGTGTTAAAATCTATGTCTATTACATGAACATATAGTATTGTATTCAACCCAGTTATTCCACCTCTAATTTTTACTCGTTACAACCTTAATCCTAACCAGTATGGGGGTCGGTCGGTATTTCTGTAAGCCAATATTTTTTTACTTTTTTTTTAAACCCGGGCGGCTGGCCCAGTCGGTTAACATTTAAGAATAGCATGTTAGGCGACGGGGAATTGAACTCGCGACCGTTAGGTTCGAATCGAGCGCCCTAACCATCGGGTTATGCCTGTAAAAGTATGGTATAACCAAGGAAAGTAAAATAAGTAATATCAGTAATATACTTGCATTTTTATTTATCCATTTCTATCGATTCATTTCCCCTTATCATCCCTC